GATAACAATACCTGAACCTCCCTTGAGGTTTTATCATTTGTTATGTCTTTGTGCTCTTCTTGAGTTACTACCTTTGTATTATGATCACTTTGATCATTTGCTCCTTTTCTTTTTCGAGGATTTTTATCCTTAGAACCGATAGGTCTACCACGTTTCAAGCGTGGTTTAAACTCATTTGCTTTAACTAAATGTCCTACCGGGATATCCACTCGAATTGGAGCATTAGCAGTTAGAGTATGTGACTTAGTCACCCTTGGTAGGTCAGTGAATGCATCTGGCAGTTGATTTGTAATATTTTGCAAATGAATTATCTTTTGAACATCTTGTTTACATTGATTTATTCGAGGATCTAAATGAGATAGTGATAATACATTCCAATCTATCTCCTTTCTCAGCTGCTTATTTTCTCCCCCTAATATTGGGTATACTGATTCATCAAAATGACAATAAGAAAATCTTGCTGTAAATAAATCTCTAGTCATAGGCTCCAGATATTTTATAATAGAAGGATATTCATACCCAACATATACTCCCAACCTTCTTTGGGGACCCATCTTTGTGCGTTGTGGTGGAGCAATTGGAACATATATCGCACAACCAAAGATTCTAAGATGAGAAATATTTGGCTCCTGATCAAAAGCCAATTGCAATGGGGAGACTTTATGATAACTTGTGGGCCTTATCCGCACAAGTGCTGTTGTATGTAAAATAGCATGACCCCATACTGAAATGGAAAGTTTTGTTCTCATAAGCATTGGTCTAGCAATTAATTGGAGGTGTTTGATCAATGATTCCGCTAGACCATTTTGTGTATGAACATGAGCAACCGGATGCTCAATTGTTATCCCAGTTGATATACAATAATCATTAAAGGCTTGGAATGTAAACTCACCAGCATTATCAAGACGAATTTTCTTAATTGCATAATCTGGAAATTGTGCTCTTAGCTTTATTATTTGAGCCAACAATCTCGCAAATGCCATATTGCAAGTTGATAGTAAGCACACATGTGACCATCTTGTAGATGCATCTACCAAAATCATATAATATCTGAATGGTCCATATGGAGGATGAATGGGCCTATATATATCACCTTGTATACGTTCCATAAATGTAGGGAATTCCATCCTAACTTTAATAGCTGATGGTCTAATAATTAATTTGCCTTGAGAATATGCAACACATGAGAATTCTTTAAATTGAAGAATCTTTTGGTTCTTCATTGAATGTCCATATGAATTCTCAATTATTTTACGCATCATAGTAGAACCAGGATGACCCAACCGGTCATGCCAAATAATAAAATTATCTTGATTAGTAAACTTTTCATTTACTATGGCATGCGTTTCAATCCTGCTAATACTTGTGTAGTATAAGCCGGAGGAAAGAGCAGGTAACATTTCAAGCACATATTTCTTACCAGACATTATTGTAGTAATATAAAGATATTCAATCTTTTCATCATTTGTAGTCTCAATATGGTAGCCATTTTGGCGAATATCTTTGAAACTTAATAAGTTTCTTTGAGATTTACTACAATATAGTGCTTCATCAATAGACAAATTTGTTCCTCCTGGTAGTAATAAATTGGCTCTTCCAGAACCTTCAATTAATTTTGTACTACTGGATATTGTATTAACATTAGCTTATTTCATTACCAAATAAGAGAAATATCTCTTATCTCTTAAAATAGTGTGTGTTATAGCACTATCCAGAAGACATATATCATCTTTATTAATCTTGAGTCCAACTAAAGACTGAAAAATTTTCATATTCTTCATTAAAAAATCAAAAAGTACATTATAAGAAATATGAAAGACAAATAAAATATATATTAAGAAATACATTAGAAATGTAGAAACTAGCAACACATGATACATTAGGAAAATACACTTAAAAAAAATAAACTAATTGCAAACATAACAAAATGACAACTTTTATTATAGCTTCATTCCCAGTAACATGATTATTTCTTCAGTCAATATCCTCAAAGAAGTCTCCAGCTTCTAAATGAGTAATATTTGCTAGGCCTCCAAAATCATCATCTTTATATGCAAGATGTGCCTCAGAATCATATTTGTTTGAGAGACCTGCTTCATCATCATTATTGAAAGGTCAAGTGTGCCTCTACGTTATTTTCTTTCTTTCTAAGGGAGGCTTGATAAAGTTTGACAAAATAATCTGACGTACGACAAATGCGTGCCCAATGACCTTTCATACCACAATGGTGACACATACTAATTTTACCTTTTGAAGGATTAATTTGAGAATCCTTATTGTTCTCCTGTTTATTTCCACCATAATGACAATAATTATTTCGTCCCCTGCCACGTCCACGTCTACGACCATGTCCACGACCACGGTAATTATTTTTTTTTTCTTTCAGACTTATCATATGCTGCTACAGAATTCACTTCCAGGAATGGTGCTGACCCAGTGGGACGGGCTTTATGATTTTTCATTAAAAGAGTATTATTCTGCTCTACCACAAGTAGGCATGTGATTAACTCAGAATATGTCTTAAAACCCTTTTCACGGTATTGTTGTTGTAGCACCACATTTGAAGCGTGAAAAGTAGAAAATATTTTTTCTAATAAGTCTTCATCTGTGAAAGTGTCTCCACATAATTTTAATAGAGAATTTACTTTAAAGATAGCCGAATTATACTCACTTACGGTTTTAAAGTCTTGCAACCTTAAATGTATCCACTCATACCGAGCTTTCGGTAATACCGTAAGTTTTAGGTGGTCATATCGATCCTTCAAATTAATCCATAACTCAAGTGGATATTTTACAGTTAAATATTCAGTTTTTAACCCTTCATATAGATGATGACGAAGGTAAATCATGGCCTTCGCTTTATCCTGATTTGATGCTTCATTTTCTTGTATAATAGTATTTCCAAGACCTTTAGCGTCAAGGTGAATTTAGCATCAAGGACCCATGATAAATAATTCTTTCCGGTAATATCTAGTGCCACGAATTCAAGCTTTGACAAGTTAAACATATTGAAACTAATCACAAAAGTAAATGGGTTAAAACGAATAAAAATAATTTTCAATGAAAATATACTTGTAAAAATAAATCAGACAACTAATTAAAAAGTTGATCACTTCAAACATGTAGTATAAAAAAAAGAGAGGTGTAAGTAACATATGATATATATGTCAAATAAACAAGAGTTATGGAGTATATGAATAAACACAAAGAGATATATTTAGTATGGTAAAAGAAAAGCAATTTATTATAAACGTGGATTTGAGGAATAACCATATACGGTGATAAGAGTGAATGTATTCAAATATTACTTTCCACCAATTGTAAAGTAATTTAAACTAGTATGTACAATAATTACTTTGTCATCTTGGTTATCACTATTTTATTTTTGTAGAATGTCTTGAAGATAAGTTTTGCTCTACGCAAGTCCACACATATTTATTNATACGGTGATAAGAGTGAATGTATTCAAATATTACTTTCCACCAATTGTAAAGTAATTTAAACTAGTATGTACAATAATTACTTTGTCATCTTGGTTATCACTATTTTATTTTTGTAGAATGTCTTGAAGATAAGTTTTGCTCTACGCAAATCTACACATATTTATTTAATTATTTTTGTTAGTTTAACGCACTTAAGATCTATATCTTATATTTTCTTTAACAATAAGCAAGGTAAGAGAACTTCAGTAACATGATCAACTAAATTAAATGCTTAACAATATATGAATTTATTAATAAATAGCATATTGGTGCATATATATTTCCATAAACTAAAAGAATATATCATGATATACCTGAAGGAGAATCGAACACAACTAGGATGTGATTGTGAAATGAAGGTGACAATCGTGCTGATAACGTGTTATAAATATAACTCAAAATAACAATATCGAACAAGGAAAAACAAGCTAAGAAATATAGAGAGAAAAAGAGGCAGATAGATTCTTATTTCTTCTTCAATTGTGTGTTTTTTTCCTATCTATTACAAGGTCTTTATATATGCATGAAAAGTGAATAAAAATATGTTATTAAGCATAAAAATATGTCATTGAATATGTCATTAAATATTTGAGAAGATCACGGAAGAGGAAGAGTAGACATACAACATAATTTGATTTCTCTTATATCATGATCAAAATTATTTATTCCCTTTTATTATTGCAGGTTTGTTCTATGTATTTTTTTCGAGTGTTTTTACCAATATTGTCTCTTATCTTTGAAGGTAGGTCTATTTTGGTCCCTCAAATATAACCCTAAGCATATTTAGTCCCTTAAGTATGCTAAAGTGGAGCACTTTTAGTCTCACTGACACAATATATTCAAAAACTAACGGTGTTACCCAACTCTGATTCATGAAGCAAATCTTCTGATCTGAAGCAAAATGTTTCCTCTCCTTTTATTGGATAACGCAAATTATCACTTTAATTTCTCATTTTTAGATAATGTCTTCTAAAAATTTGACCTTGAAAATATCCCCTTCTGTGCAAGTTTTCAATGAGAAAATGACACTGTATAACCGCTGTAAAAATAATACCCGAAAAAATATATAAAATTTGTAGAGTTTTTTGTGTATATATATACATTTAAAAATTTTGGGTTGATTTATACAAATTTTATATATTTTTTCGGTTATTAGTTTTACAGCGGCTATACAGTGTCATTTTCTCACTGAAAACTGGCACAAAAGGAATATTTTCAAGGTCAAAATTTTAGAAGACATTATCTAAAAATAATTAATTTTATTGGATAATTTATATTATCCAATAAAAGGAGAGGAAACGTTTTGTTTCATAAATCAAAGTTGGGTAACATCGTTAGTTTTTGAACACATTGTGTCATTCAATGAGACTCAAAGTGCTCCACTTAGCATACTTAATGCACTAAATATACTCAGAGATATATTTGAGAGATCAAAATAAACTTATCCTCAAATATAAGGAACAACATTGACCAAAAACTCTATTTTTCTCATCTTTGTAACAACTTATGTGTCACATTCCAAGTTAGTGTTATTTTCCTTATAAGCTGGTGTTTGTATTCATGCCCAATTCTCTCCTCTTATTTCTTTTCTCTGTTCTTCACGATTTGAGGTTCTTGCTAGTTCATTTTGTGACATCTCTCTTGGGAAATCATGGATTCACTCAAAGAAGGTGATTCTAGAAGTAGTAATTTGGGAGAATCAATGTCGAAGAAACGAAAGGGCGGAGTCAGTGGAGTTGAAGAAACCCTAGACCGTGTCAGTCAGTTGCCGGACGCACTCCTCGTACAAATTCTCTCTCTTTTGCCCACCAAAGATGCCGTCGCATCATGTGTTCTCTCAAAACGGTGGTGTTATCTCTGGTATTCAATTTATAACTTCCTTTTCATTAATAGTGATTACAGGACAGAAAACTTCATATACTTTGTGGACCACGTTTTAACTCATTGCACTAGTTCCAACATCAAAAAATTCCAACTCAATTTTGATTACATGACTCGATGGAACTTTGACTTGGAAACCATCCGATGGATTAGCTTTGCTGTAGAAAGAAAAGTGGAAGATGTTATATTGTGTTCAGATGATGAAGAACTCACTTACAAATTGCCTCTATCTATGGGCACTTGTTCGTCATTAATTACATTGAATTTGAGCCGCTGGGTGTTTGATAAAAGACTGGCCATTGCTTGGAACTCTCTTAAGAGCTTAAAGCTGGACCTAATCAGTTTAGACGATGACGATATTGTGAACTTACTGTCTGGTTGTCCTGCTATGGAAACACTGGAGTTGTTCTTCTTTCGGGGTTTTCGTCGTCTTGAAATTACTTCTTCAAATTTAAAGAGACTAACATTGGCAGGCCATTGGCGGCCTGATTTCGAAAATGACACTTCTTTGGAAATTATGGCCCCGTATCTTCAGCATTTGGAGATTTCGGGGAATCTTTATAATCTCATGTGTAGGCTTGTAAATGTGTCTTCCTTAGTTAATGCTAAGCTTACTTTCAACATTACATGTATCAAAAGCATCCAGTCTGGTGAATATGATAATGATGTTGAGGAAGCCACTTGTGGTGATTATCATCAAGTTTTAAGGACACTCGTGCAAGATTATCTTCATAAGTTGAGTTATGCAACCGAGCTATCAATTGGAACTTGCTTCAGAGAGGTTTCTTTTTAACTCGAAAGTCCTTATTTTCTCTATTGATGTTAAGTAGTCGTTATTGAATGTAAACATTATACATTGAGAACCTTTGCACAAATTTCACAAACAACGATTCATTCTTACATTTTCTAAATGGAATTCTTTTTCTAAACGCTAAACTGATAAAAAGTTAACTACCTGAGATATGGATGGTAATTTCAACTTCTTAAAGTCTTTCTATTTTCTTTAATAAAGGAGATATGTTTGAGAATGCAAGCTCGGCTTGGGGAGTGGTCTTTACTTGTTTATAGGCGCAACTGGATTAATTGCAGAAAGTTGCGGCCTTCTGGGCCTTTTTCCAGTGATGTTGCTTGATTACGCCAGCCAAGATATTTTTACATTGTTGCATAAAGCTTTTAGATTTGTCACGACACTATCTCTCTGCTGTTGAGTACTTTCTTTTTGTTGTTAATGCTTTCTCCATTCTTTATTGGGTTCATTTGTTTTACTGCTCCAGGTCCTGTGTGCCTCACAGTTTGAAGGGGTGCCATGGGTGCTGATTCCAGACCTGAAATGCAAATATCTTACACTAGAGTTGCATATAGGAAACTTTAATTTGCATGGACTAGCTGGCCTTTTGCGAGCGTCACCTAATGCGGAGACACTCAACATAGACATCGCAATTACGCTTGTAACTTCCTGGAACTTTTTTTATTCTTCTTAGTTTATTCATTTGATGAAGCTTGAATCCCCCACCCCCACCACCACACCCAAGGAGGTTATTTCTGAAGGAGAATGCAAATATATCTGTAACTATCAGTAAGATGCTTGCTTTTGTAACTATAAAGCTTCACATTAATATGGTCGGTGCTGTTGCTTTCTTTGAGGCAAATGAGCTCCGCTATCACTTTTTACTTCGGTTACGTGCTCGATGAATCTTATGATAGGAACAGCCCTCATAATCATGTTCCATGTACCGTTAGGATTCGTTGGTTCTGAAATTTTTATGTAATAGACACTTCTACTGTGAAATCAATTTTTGTACCTTTCTGCAATTTCATTTGTCGGACCTGCATTTGATCCTGATTATATTTTCTGTCTCCAGTTTGGTTCCCCCTGCCGCTTTGAGTCAAAATATTTGGGCAAAGTAGATAATGCTAATATTGAGAGAAGGATTTCAAGCTTTCCGTTTCCCAACCTCAAGATTGTTAAGATTGGTATCTCCGTCGAAATGTGCTTGAAGTATAATTTCGCATGGCAATTTAAAAAGCTTTTTGAACTTTCAAAATTCCTGTTGAAGATTGCAACGGTTTTGGAGAAGTTCATTATCACATCAGAGAGAAGAAAGTGCAGGAGATGTTCAATGAACTGTGAGTCCCGACTTTTATCTCAGTTGACTGAGAAATTGTTACGTTGTGCAAGATCCTCTGCCAATCCTGTATTTATCTTCCAGGAGTGAGCTTTCCATGACCAGACTGCAAGTAGTTTTCTGTCTCAGGATACGAAAATTTTCGCTTTAATTGAGTTTTTTACAAACTGCTTATGCAATCATGAACCTTTAGCTTCTCTGCATGGCAAGTTTCTGTTCTGTTGAACTTAACCTTATGGCATAATGAATTTTATGGTAGCTTGGTTCCTCATGAGCTTTTTTTTGTTGCAGTTTAGATGTTTTACATATGCATTGAGATTTCCTCGCAACACTTGTTTTCCTTGACCTATTAAGATGAGCACATCTAAATAATTAACCTTATGAAGTGTTGTCTTTTGCTACCTAGCTTTGTCAGTTGCATCAAGGTCTATAAATGTGAAATGGTTCCCTTTTTGGCTTTTTTCTTGGAAGAAAGAGGTCTGCGTTTGTTTACCTCAAAATTTTTAGCAGTTGTGATATTGAGGCTTACAGTGCTTGAATCTAATGTAAAGGCCATAATAAGAATGTTTGTAATTCTGAAGTTAAGGACATAGTAAGAATGTTTGACTCGCTTGAAATTGGGACATATTTTAGTTGTCTGTGACAGCTTACACGGGGTTGTGAATTTTTTTAGGAAAAAGCAGCTCTCTTGATAAATGTAGTGAAAATTAGTTTGATTTATGTTTTCCCTTTGTTAATAGATTTATCGTTCTGGGTTTGGTTGAACAAGATGTAAAGGTCCTATTTAGTGAACTTTGATCTATTTATTTGAAGTTAAACAACTTTATAGTTTGTTAATCCTTGCGGACGATTTGAACCAGGGGAAACACTTCCTCCACCCCCCCCCCCCACCCCCCCCC